TAATGTGATATTTGACGTTCAAGTCATGGAGACTGAATGTGTCGGTGATTTGTATAGTGCCCGTATTCCAGTAAAAATCTGCGATTGTGTCGAAGTCTTTTGTTATGTCATCTTATGTTAGAAATTTTTAACCCTGAAGGCACTTTTATTCGCCAATTATTAGTATACTGCTTGGATTGTCGTTGCTGGCGATATGAATTTGTATGTTATATTTGGTTTTTAAACCGTAGTATTTCTAAAACATATAATTTTTAGTTATGATTTTAATTAATTTTAATTTACATTTGAAGAAAATATTATATATCACATTATTAAATAAATATCAAATAAATAGAATTGAGAAAAAAGAAATGTTATATGCGATCAGTAACAAAAAATAAATAAAGCTCATTTATATACTTATGTATATATTTATTTTGTATTCAATGTATGTACAGGAAATACGAAACTTTTTTTTATTGGAAAGTCTCGAACCGACTTACGTAAAGATCATTTCTAAATAAAACAGTAGAATTTATCTAAGCTTTTTTTTCCACGCAAATAAAAACCGCATTACACAATGAAATCATTTAACGAATCTATGTGGCAAATTTAAATGCGAATTCAACTCACGAAGTTACCAAGCAAAAGGCCATAGAATATCTAATCGGTTCCCGGTACACACGTCTACTGCTTTGTTCTACAAGCAAAAACATGTCTCCTTTCCAGCAGTTTAAAGTTTCATTCATCATTGGGTGATCTATAAAGTTATGTAAACCATGACCTAGTACCAGAAAACTACTGAATGGACAGTTTTAATCGATGTCAGTGCACTCATCTTCGATTCGCAATTCGTTTCATAAAATGAGTGTTGAGTTTTCATCATTTTAAGTGCTTATATGACGTTTTAATTACAATAAGAAATAAAATAACTTCATTAAATATACATTACAAATAAGTTCAATGTACAAATAAGTTCAAAATAACTTCATAAGAAATTTGAAATAAATAATACATATATTAGTTAATATTTGCTACAGTACTGACTTTTTGGCACTTGGTAATTCATTCAACTTACAGTGAAAAGCAATTATCAATCAGCAAATAACACTCAATAATTATACATTGAATGTTACATGTATATATCATATAATAGTTACATTACGATTAAAAATACAATCAAACGAATATAGTAGATTAATATTATAACCCTAATCTTGTTTTTAAGAAATAACATTAATCATTCAGTAGTTATGGGGTTTTGTAGTCTCCTTTGGAGTGCTGTTTCTCTGACTCGCCTATTTAATTATTTGCATGGGAAAGTAATCAAACGTTATGCCTTGTAGTGGATTTCAATAGCACTTTCATAATTTGGTCCGTCTCGAAATCTAAGTTAGGTTAGGTTATACCGGCGATCCCTAGTGGATCCACTTAGGCCAAATGGCCCATTATATTATCATATATATAGGAGAAGAAACTCAGGGCTTAAAACCACCTAGAACCTTTGGCGAAGCATGCTATTTACGGACCTATTCTGTGCACTTGACAGATTTGTCAAATTCTTTAATAAAATTTTTAATTTTTATAAAGCAGAAAACTTTTTGGTATTCTGGACACATCTTGACCAATTTCAAAGCTCAAGTACATAGTGCTTCTCACCACACTATGGTGTAAAGTGTTTTGCATAGAAAACTGTTCGTAATTGTTCGTAAAAAATGCTTGTGAAGAGCACATATTTTAAGTTGCCAAAAGCATTTTTCATGCATTCAAATAACAATAAAAAATATGCTTGTAAATAGCGTATATTTTAGTTAAGAATATTTGTCATGCATGCAAAAAATAAAAAATGCTTAAAAAGAGCATATTTTTATAGTTGTCAACAGCATTTGTAGTATTTACAACTAAGGAAAAGAGGAAAAGAGCTTTTTATTTATGTCACAGAATACCAAAACCTTTACAGCAGTCAATTTTGACAAGTGTCAATGTTTGACAAGTTTATAAAGTGCACAGAATAGGTCCGTTAGTGTCAGGTCCTGTAACTGGTCCAGGTCCTCAAGAAAGGAGATTTCCCAAATGTTAAGTCGCCGCACAACGGCAGCAAGCCAATCCCTTGATCAAGGGATAATCCAAAATATTTAATAGAATCATTTTTAATAGAATCTTACTTCGAAAACACTTGTTATGTAAACGTGATACTACAAGGTCAATTTCAGAGCTGTCGAAATCTATTAAGGTACTTGAAACTGTTTATTTTCTTAAAGCATCTTGCATAAAGTAGAAATAACAACAATCGAAAATTGCTTTCGTATAGCAGGATTTTCAAAAGTGCATGATAGCCTTACCGATTTTGATCCCGAAGATAACATTCCATTCGCAATCTATGCTAAATTTAGGGAGGGACTCGATTTGGCAAATGATTTCGACGTTTTTCTGTAAATACACAAAAATATCTGCACTAAAGACAACAATATCGAAATTCAATTTAAAGAAAAAACCGATATTATCGATATAAGTTCAGAAGAAGAATCTAATAAAGAAATAAGTGAGCCCATAGCATCCTATGATAAGGTGTTAAAACTTCAACTTCATTCAAAATATTATTTGGGTGCAATTTATATATAATTTTTTGTGCTCCCTCTCACAAGCGAACATCTTTCATAACTGGATAAAAAATTGCGACGGTTAGTGTCAGGTTATGACAAATTTCACTGTACAATTTATAACCAAAGAAAGTCTTCTCTGAAATAAAATTACGTAAATATATGTTTTCACCTATTTTAATAGTCATTTTCCGACAAATATACATATATGCATATTTAAACGTAGTAGGGGTATGCAAAAATGGTACCTACCTCCGTACCTAATTAGATAACACAGTTTGCGGAAAATAATTGACTTAAAAATATTTTAAATCCCTAAGTCCCTAAGTTTGTTATGTATTCGTTACTTTATTCGTTACCCTGCGTCCTGGTTTCGGTTAGATTTATTCGCTTCGCTATTCATCGTAATTATCGGTTTTTCCGATCATATTTTTTTCGTTCGGAAAGGATCATCTTCGTTGTAATATTTTCGATGCTTATTTCACTGGCCTTAGTCACGAAAAAAATATAATATTTATTTATATCCATTATCAGAAAGGAATGGAGTTAGATAATAGTTTACTGATTATGATAATGATGGTGATGCTGATGATGGTGATAATGATGATGATGACGACAGCGTTTAAGTTTAGTTATGCCATATATTTTTATGCTTTATGCATTGTACCGATTCGAAAAAAATATAATAATTATAATAATATATATGATCAGAAAGGAAATGATGATGATGATGACAATGAGTCTTAAGTCTAGTTATACTTTATATTTCTATGAAAATAACGTATTCTATATATATTGAAGTATTAAAAATTCTGTCATTTTCTTTAAATGAAGTCATGAAAACGTTTTCTAGCATATGCTATTTTTCCAAAATGTTATAAAATGTGATTTTAGATTTTAGCTCTTGGGTTGCAGTTTTTTGACCATCCACCATTTTTGTAAAGAAGTGCAATGACTCATACCGGACAATGTTACGTAGATATTTTACAAAATAAAAATGGATCTTATATCGTTGTTATATATTATATTGAAAGTGAGTTGGTCGCACCTTCTCTGATAATTTTTTCCAAATAGCATTCTTATAAGTGTTATGCATGTAATAATTTGAAACGATAAATAATTTTTATAAGCGGTATGTACAGTAGACTCTCCAAATTATAACAGATAAATTTTCAATATTTTTTGTCATATTAAATATATATATTATTTAACATTTGTTATTTAAAGAGAATATTTTTGATAGTTTTTATTAACATTTATTTGATCGTTTGCTATATAGAGGATGCGCTACAACTGACATTCGTTATACCGAGGGATTACTGTAATTATATTGGTTGAGTAACTTCGCGATATGCATACTCGCATAAATAAAAATTGCACATTTTGTTTAACGATAATGAATGCAATGCAATATTTTGCACTCTGCGAAGACACAAAACAACGAAAACGTCATCAAATATTTATACAAAAAAAACAACGATTGTGGAGACAACAACAATAATAACAACATTTGTTCATATAATAACTATTACAACAAACAGTCAGTGTAATAGAAAAACAAAAGAGAGAAACTAAAATAAAAAACAACTTATCATTAAGCATTGTCAAAACAGTGGACACACTACATGTGCAGTAGTTCTGTTCACATTTGTAGGGATAAGCTCTGTGGTGCTTTTGTGTGCAACAAGCAAGCTGCGCAAAAAAGTAGCGCATCAGTGTCAAACTTGCCCACTTTTGACTTTTGTACAATAACAATAACAATTCTAAATTGGAATACTCGAATACTTGAACAGAAAACAGAAAAACAGAAAAAACAAAAACAAAAACAGAAAACAGAAAACAAAATAAGCAAAATAAACAAAAACACTCACTTAACTTTAAGCGCTTTAGCGCAAATTGTTTAGTAATTGCTCTTATCTATTCTGTTGTTACGCTTGCTACAGCTTCGTGTCGCAAATTTTGTTGTTGCTTAAATAAAAAGTTCTCTCCGCACGTGCGTTTACACGTGAGCCGAACGGCAAGAATTTACACAACCTATAACAGAACGTTTTTCATAACGTGTTTTCGCTGTGAATTCTATAGCATGACAACAACAACGAAGAGCTTACAAACGGTGACCGGAGCTTTAGCGGCAGAGTTGGCCTGTGAAATGCAAAACACAACAAGTATTCTCAATTAAACCATCGACGTATGCAGATGTGCTTGAGTTATAAAATTAATGTAAAAATCGGAAGCAAACAAGTGATTACCGATATTATTTAATAATATTATTTCGTTGAATTTAAAAAAAAATTTGTGTAATGTTGAAGTCTTGCAATTAACGCAAAAATATTAACTAATGAATTTATTTTATTTTATTCAATAAAAAATTATTTGATTAATGAATAATTAATCAATTAAACGAAAAAACCTATAAAAAATTATTCATAATTATTTTTATTATGTTTTGGACAAAAACAACAAAACACACACACATACACATACACATGTGAAACTGCAAAACAATCATTCGACATTCATGTGGTGAAAAACGAAAAAAATAAAAAATTAAGTTTACACTGTGCGAAAACGAGTACTGCAGTTCTAATTCGCGAGCGCAATTATATAAAAAGCAAAACAAATAAGCAAAAAATTCCTAATTGATAGGCAATTAAAGTGTATGAAAAACTCCCGCTCCCTTCGCAACAATCGGAGCGGATAAAAAATAATTTTTCGTATTTGTGTTATGATCATATGCGATAAATGAACGTGCATTCGAAATCAATACTTGTGGCACTTAAATTTTTTAACAATCAATAAACTGACCGAGTTAAAGGTGAATAAATTGCAAACATAATTAAGTCAGTGTTTAGATAATCAATTAGAAGCAAAACAGAAACTAAAAGAGTGATAATTACATTTAAAGCATAGTCAAAGTCAAAGTTATAATTGATATCCAAAAATCGAAATCGGAATCTTTAAAGAAATTAAATGCTTCACCTTATAAACAAGAGTTAAACACTTATATTACACTAATTACACGCGAAATTGGTAAGTTAATTATAGAAATGTAAAGCTTATACCTTAAATCAGAGCTGTCCAAAACATGGGCCACGGGCCTCACATGGCCCGCGACATGTTTCTGATCTACAACAATTAAATAAATTTTTCTTTGTTATATTTTAAGAACATCACATTATTTTATTTCTATGGTATCCCAAATAAATGAATTAAACTGTTTCGAATAATTTGTTTTAGTATATTTTAGTATATATTTCAAATAGTTCAAAGAACTCGCATAAGTCATAACATTAAAAATAAGTTATTTTTCGTATGACAACAACTAATATTAATAATGTTAATATTAATAGAAAAGTTAAAGATAAATTAATGAAGAAATAATAAAACTAAATGTAACAATATCGCTGTATTTTTATTTTTCTCTGGTAAAATTATGAACATATTTATTTTTTTCTGCGGCCCTTCAGTCTTTTGAGTCATTTGAATTGGCCTGCGATCTTATTTGGTGTGGACAGCCCTGCCTTACACAGCAGTCGGCAAGTATCTATGTACCCCCTTTGTTGAAAAATTTTAACAAGGTGTTTTTGCAACATCATATTCAGTGGTTCATAGAGAGTCATATAGAGGGGGAAAGGGAACGAATAATAGTTTCGAAAAGTTGATCTAAAGTTCATATAATAACATTTAATTAAAAACAATCAATTATATGTAATGTGACATAATCAGTAAAATAAATATTAACCCCCTGTGTTGTAAAACCTTACTAAAATTTTTTGCAAGTTCATTTTTGATTTAGCGAAGTAAAGATATACTTATTGAAGAGGGAGGAAATTAAAGTTAGTCAAGTTCATATGATAACATTTGATTGAAAACAATTCATTACACATGTAATGTGAAATAACTCGAATTATTTTTGGGGGAGGTGAGGTAAGGTTTAAACCCCTCTATACTTCTACTATAAATGGTTGATCACGTTGCAACTACTTTAGTTTTGTTGCACGTGAAATATACTATCCGACAATAAATATTAGTTAGAGCTTGTTTGACTAAATGAACTTGCAGATTTAAGGGGTCGAACTTCAATGACATTTTAAAGCACGTGCTTGAAGTTTGCCTGGTACTATGAATAAATGAAAGTATTATCTAGATAAGCATTTTACATCGAATGAGGAAACAATATTCGATCAAGATTCAATATTCAAATGGATCGAAAATAATAGATTTAGAGAAGCCTTTATTATATATAATATATTATATATATTTATTATATATTATATATATATATAATTTCCTATTATTATATCCTATTATAACTGTCATTACGTTTGTGGTAATTACTCAAAGAACTAGATTTGTCTCGTTTGTAAATGTTCCCTTTATGATGATCTTCGAGACTTGAGACTTGGTATAATGTCTAAAGTGTTGTGGTTCATGCGCCATCAAGTCTGGCGAGAACTGACGATGTGTGTGTCCTATCAAACTAGTTAATTTGTTGAAACAGAGTGACACAAAGAAACATCACAGCGGTGCTATTCTACGCATATATGGAGAGTACAGAATATGTAGTTAAGAACATCTTTTGTATATTGCGTATATCTTTTTAAGCTCAAACAAATTCATATTTGATTAATTGAACTTGTGAGGACGTATGTTAAGCCCAGTTTTTAATAAGTTCTCAGAAGAATTAATAAGTTCTCTTCTTAAATCCACACTTTAATCAGGACTTAAAGACAGATGATTCATTACTTCCGAATAAAGTAAATAGCACTACAGGAAAAATACTGCCATTCCCAGGAACCTATTCTGTATGTGCATAACCGTTGCGCAGTCTAACAGCACATGCGTGGCTGACATATCATTTTCTTCACAGAATCTGCAGTTTGCATCCGTATATATACACAGTCCTGTAAGGTGGTATTTTAATTTACAGTGCCCTGTTAGGATTCCTGTGATGATTCTTAGTTTTTCTTTCTAAAGAAACTAGTCTATACAATCCTGGTACCTCCTATTATTATAGGTACCAATAAGTGATTGTGATTATCTTTATCCTGACAGATTATCCCAATAATTCATTTTGTTTTGGTTCTCGTTCACTTTTATGAGAGATAGGAGAGTACTGTCCACAAAAAGTTCTGGCCCATCATCGGTGTGGCTGCTCCTTTCTTGGCAAGTTTGGCTGCGTATTCGTTTCCGCGTACGCCAGTATGTTCCGATACCCAGAGAATCAACACCTGATTTCATTCGCCGAGCAGGTTTTGCTTTTCAAGGCTTTCGTGCACCAGTTTTGAAGTTGCCTGATGTGAGTTTAGTGCCTTATTAGGCACTTGGTTGTCTGTCAATATTGCGATATTGCGTCATTTTTCGCTTTATCACGTAATTAAATAGATATTAATACATATCTCTGTTGTATAATCATTAATAAGACACTATTCAGAAAATAACCGTATTGCATCTGGTTATAAAATTTTCAATTTAAAAAACGATTTGGTGCTAATTGGTTCCAGCATGTATTTAAGGTTTAAACTTAATTGCAAAAATTTTTTTCCGAGGTGTTAAGTAGTAAATGTGAATAATCTTAAAAAACTGTTTACTTAATATTTAATAACCGCTTTGGGCATCCATTTATTTCGATGTACTATGTCTTGTTAACAGTATTTGAAATCTTTTACGTACGTCACTTCTCACACTTAACCCACAAAACATATTTTGGTTGCATGTGTTAGCTAACGTATCCTGTCTGGTAATTTTCGTTGTTCTCTGCTTTGCGGATGTACTTCGACTTTGCAGTCGTCACCGAAGTAGGTGTCGGTGTCTTACTTTATATAACACTCGGATTGACGTAAAAGCATTAATTACACATATTTTTGGAAATTTCCACAACACAATTTTCCACCTTCGTTATATATTTGATAGAGAAATATTACAAATATAAGATACATTGTTCTCTTTTATTATTTTCACTTTTATTGGTATTTTATTAGAATTAATTAGAAATAAGTAATACTTAAGCAATACCATCCATGCTTATTGCAATGCCATCCATCACAGAATTTTTGTAATTGATCATATAATATTAGCGGAAAGATATGCGGACTTATCTTAAGCGATGTGCAGGTGTGTAGGTGAGATGTCAGTTCCAATAAAGAGGTTAGGATGATTTAAAAGCCTCAGTATATGCGATGAAAAGTATGAGTACTTGATTTTATAGTCACGGCGAATATAGTGGTTCATGACAAAATATAATTAATATTAATATTTTTAATTGACATCTTCGCAAGATTTCAATGATTAATATACCGCCTCACAAGTTACTGTCTATTAATATTTGTAAGTTCCGATTTTTTGGTCATAAACATATTAAAGTATTAAGTGCCTCACGTTTTGGATATATAAAAATTTTTTATATCAATTTTTTATTAAGGATTATGTTTGGATATTCCATTTGATTGCTTTGTGGTGTATACTACCCGTTTACTCTAACACATGATCAAGTTTCTCGACTTAGAGTGAAAGTGACCTTAGTTAGTATTGTATAATTTATCTTAGTCCCCTTTAAACTTTGGAGGCAGCTATTTTTGGAGAAGTAACTGTCGCCAAAACGGTAAGTTTATTTTCAGTACACATTAATCAGTATTTATACGAGGTTAACCCTAAGGCAATCGGGCCAAGCTTGTGAAGTTTTACTACATTATGTTATGTTTGTAGTCAAAAAAATTTTAAAGGGCTGTCATTAAATTTTATTTTAAATTCTTAAAATATTGCCCTAGAATTTCTTTAACATTTAACATAATTTATGATACAAGCATTTTGTAACTCTAACAATGGATGGCAAAGTCATTTCAAATATTTTACAGAAAAATAGGAGGGTTTAGTATAAGATGTTTGGGACTTGGTTTTTGTAAATTTAGAAGGTAAGAGTTATATCTGTATTAATTTTCTATAATATATAATTGAAATAAATTCAATAAAAGCTTAGTCTATTTATAACTAGATTTTTTTAATTACATTAAGATACAAACGCTCAATTTTTGGATTTTCAACAACTGTAATGAAAATTTTTATTAAGAAATAATAGGAAAGGTATAATAAGATAATATATAATAAGAAACTGGAAGAGTATTGCAAAAACCATTTTGATAAGACATTGATTATTCACCACGCTCTAATTAGTGAAGCATACTCAGAAATTATTGATAATATTCGACAATGTGGTAAAGTCTGAAGGGGGCGTGAAGCGTAACAACGAATAGATCAATCACTACTGAATATTTCTTAATATGATAGACATTTCTAAATTCTATAAATACATTCGTGACACTGCAGTGCACGGATGTGTTTTGTTGAGTTAAATAAAGTTTTTGATAACATGTTTAGTTAGTCTTTAAAGACGTGATTCATTTAAGTGTGCATTCCATAGAATCCGTCTGAAAGCTGTCGGAGGCTAACTTGAGCATGCAGTTTAGGTTGGTTACAATATAAGATACTTGAAGAGAGTGAAATTTTAATTATACAATATATATTGCATTATACAATAATCTGATTGATTTGAGTAACCAGCTGCGCGCCTGAGATGTAGTACAATTATTAATTACCTGAGCACCTGTCTAATATTTAATAGCTAAAGTTAATGATTACTTATACTGCCTTGAACTGCACGTAACGGAATAATTAAAAAGATTCATTTGTTTTACATAAATTGTTCAGAACATAACTGTAGTGTGTAAAAATTTTGTCGTTGTCATTTAATTAACAATTCATTTAGATTGTACCATATAAGTATTTTCGTGTTTGATAAAAAGTCCATTTTATATAGAAATAGACATAAAATAGTGAGGCATTTTCAAAAACTTGCAGGTTAAAAATTATATACAGGTATTTAAATTAATAGATGTATCTGGAATATCTATATGATATGTATAATATCAAAACTCCTTGTACATCACAAGTTTAAGTAGTGTACTTTTATGATTTCTTTATCTTTTGAGAAAACTGGTTAACGCCCCATAGTACGTAAGAGGAGCGTATATCCA